CACGGACGAGGCCAGGGCAGTACTGCAATTCTGCCTGTTCAAGGCGGCCTGGCCCAGGGGGGGTTTTAAATCTCATTTTAATTAAGGAAAAAGCCTGGCTTACATCAGGGGTGAGCTGCTGCCGTGACGGAGGCTGGGGCACAGGGTGGGGCGATGTTTTCCCACCCTGAGCAGCACTCCAAAGCCACCTTCTGCCTCCAGGACTACCTTCCCAGGTCCCACTAAGTCCCCAAACATCCTCGAGGGCCCGGCTCCCGCACCAGGCCTTCAGGAAGCTTCTCGGGGTCTCGGCCCACCTGTAAGCCTGTATGAGTTTCCTGGGGCTGTCCTCATAAAAGTGCCACGCTCTGGGTGGCTTCCGACAACAGGGCTACGTCCCCTCCCAGGTGTGGAGCCACAAGTCTGCCATCCCAGCATTGGCAGGGCCACGGTCCCCCTCCCCCCGAAGGCTCTCGGCGAGGCCCCTCCTGCTCTGCCAGCTTCTGGTGCTGCCGGAGGCCACGTCACCCCCAACCCCGCCTTCATCTTCACATGGCTGTCTCCCCTGTGACCCTCAGTCAGGGTCGGAGACTGTCCCTGCTATAAACGGGTACTGTGCCCCTGCTGGGCTCCAGGCTGTGGGCTCCAGGGATAAACAGGCAGCCATGGCTCTGGATCCCTGGAAGCAGGGTATACAGAAGGTAACGACTGCTCGTGGGACTGTGGACCCCACAAGGTCCCCACCGGCCGGACTAAGCACTAGGGCGGAAACCCGATGGCCCACCGCCCAGGCAGGTAAGGGCTGCTTCGCTCTCCCACCTGCTGCACCACCAGCCGGCCCCTCCTCCCTGCGGGCGGTGGTGCCCAGGTTTAGCTTAACTAAATCCCCTTGTAAGCCAGGAGGCTGCCTGCTCAGGCCTTGGGGACAGGGTGGAGCCACATAAAATCCCATCTGTTCCAACTAGCCCTCCCTGCTCCTCTGCCACTGGGTATCTCTCAACCCTCCTCCTCCCAGTCTCTGGGGCGGTCTCCACCCAGCTCCCATCTGAGAGCAAGGCCATTAGACCTGGGCAGTGGCTTTCACTCAGGCTGCTGCCGCAAGGGTGAATCACCTGCACACACAAAAATAAAAACTCACTGCCGTGGAGTCAATTCTGACTCATAGAGACCCCTCCCTGGGTTTCTGAGGCAGTATCTCTACAGAAGTAGAATGCCCAGTCTTCCTTCCAAGGAGTGGCTAGTGGGTTTGAACCGCCAGCCTTCTGGTTAACAGTCAAATGCATTAGACAACACGCACCAGAGCTCCCAAATCACCTGGAGACTTGATTAAAAAGATTGCTGGCCACGCCCCCTGTCCAATCTCAGTCTCTGGGGGCAGGGCCAGGGCTGCAGCTTTTAAAATCTTCCCAAAGATTCTACTGTGCAGGAGTGATTTAGACCCTAGCCCAAAGACTCTGAGGAGCCCTGGTGGCACAGTGGTTAAGTGCTCGGCTGCTAACCTAGGGCAGAAAGGTCAGCGTTTGGAATCCACCAGCCACTCCTGGGGGAAAAAGATAAGGCAATCTGCTTCTGTAAAGATCACAGCCTTGGAAACTCTCTGGGGTAGTTCCACTCTGTCCTCTAGGGGCACTGTGTGTCGGAACTGACTCCAGGGCACTGGGTTTGCTTTGGGTTTGGTCTAAACAATCCTCCTGTCTTCTTATGTCTCTAGAAGACAGGCCTGGTCCCATACCTGAGTTCCCCCTAAGCCCCTCGCCCCCAGTCCCTGCCACACTCGCCTCCTCACTGTTCATCAGCCCCCCAAGTTTGATCCTGACTCAGGACATCCCTGGATAGGCCACCTAAAGGGGCCAGCCTATGCCACGAACCAGTCTCCACGGTGATGCGGGGCTTAGGCTGGCCCCTGAGGCAGGCCCGACATCACAGCCAGCTGCTCTGGTAAGAAAGCCCACACCTCTGGTTAACTCTTCTGGGCTGGGGTCCCCACACACTGGAGCTGCCTCCATGGCTGGAGGTCAAAGGGTGGAGGCGGACAGGAAACCCTCATCTCAGAGAATTCTCAAACCTTCATGCCAAAGATACTCCCATCTGGCGAGCCATTTTACAGATGGGGAAACTGAGGCTTGGCCACCTGAGTTGTCTTGGAGGGTTGCTCAACGGTTTCCTGGCCCCACGCTGTAAGTTGTAACTGTCAGTGATCACCCATCCACCAATGACGGCTGAGAATTTGACAGCCACCTCTAAGCGCATTGTATGGGGCTGAACCAGTTAAACGCCTTCTCCTGCGTCCGGCAGAGGAGCAGGTGACAAGCCTGACGATACACTCTGGACAGGACCCACAACGCTTCTCTACAATCACTGGGCCAGGCTCACGCTCACACCCCAGGGTGTGCAGTGACGGCAACGATTTGTCCAAACACGATGCCAGCAGGTCCATGTTTAATCTGATGGTAGGTGTGGCCTTTCCGGCACCAGACCTGTCAGTGCTGCGGAATCTCTGAGGTCCCAGGGTGGTTGGGGAGTGGCTCTGAAGGAGCGGCCTCTGAGCAGCCTATGCCCTGCTGGTGTTTGCCCTGCACTTTCCCTGAAGGAGAAGTCCTGGCAAACCCACGCTCTGGGTGTGTAAAGCAGAGGCTTTGAGTTCTTCCAGTTTTACATTCCTTGGTGATAGTGGTCCATGCAGCAAGACGAGATGGACCCTCTCCCAGCTCCCTGGTTTGGTCTCGTGCGGGTATGGGAACAGGAATGCCCCACTGCCCGGACAAGCAGCAGATGGCTGGCTGCCTCAGTGAGCCCTTCTTCTTTGAGGGACTTGCCCAGCTGGTGGCAAAAGCTGGGTGGGTTATGGGAACAGAAACGGATGGTCTCACAGTTCAAATTCAGGATGGCTTTTTGTCTCTTTCAGCTTCTGGTAGCCACACACGTGCCCTGGCTCGTAGACGTGTCTTGCCATGGTGTGTGGCCCTGTGTCTTTTCCCCTCTTAACAAGGACACCACTCAGAAAGGACCAGCACCCACCCTATGACTTTGGGTTAAGTTAACTGATAACCTCCTCAAAGACCCAATTTCCAAACAAGGCCACATTCACAGGCACTGGGGTTACGACTTCAACATACTTGTTGGGGACACCCTGCAACCCATAACCGGGGCTACTTCAAACAGTGAGTTAAAATGCTTTCCTGTGAAGAGGCTGGATGAGTTGGCGGCTGAAGCCAGGACTCTGGCAGCAGTCTGCCGAGGTTCAATTTCCACCTGGGTCCTAGCTGTGTGGCTCCAGGCAAACTGTACTGCCTCTCTGTGCCTCAGTTTCTGCATCTGGAAATGGGGAGTCCCGACAGCACCCCCTCAAGTGTTCGCTGTGGAGCTGGAGTGAGTTAACCCATGTAGAACACACAGGACAAGCCGTGCCAATGCCGCCCCCAGTGAGGGTGAGCCACTAATCCAGGGAAGGAGCCCTGACGGTGCGACAGTCACGTGCCCCTCTGCTAGCCTCAAGGTCAGAGTTTGAACACACCCACTAGCCCCTCTGCAGGCAGAAAGGCCTGGCAATCTGCTCCTGTAAAGGTTACGGCCTGGAACAGCCGATGGGAAGTCCTACTTTGTCACACAGGGTCGCTGTGAGTTGGCACAATTCAGCCACACACCACAACGTCCATCCAGTGATTCCAACTTCTGGGAATTTAACCCAAAGAAATAATATGAACAGAATCAGAAACAAAGCAGCTCAAAACAGCGCTACCCACAAAAGCACCAAGCATGAAGCCACCCAAGGGCCGACTCTCGGCAGAATTGGATGCAGTACCAAAGGATCGTGACGACCACGTGGTCTCGAGAAACGCAACAGTCACACCCAAGCATTACACAAAAATGAAGAGACAAAGCACCACACTCAAGGCCATCATCCCCACCGCTGCCAGCCAGGGAGGACCTCCCCGGGGCAGTCAAGGAGGAGAAGGCAGGAGCGGACAAGGGAGCAGCCAGAGATGTGGGCTGGGCGGAGGGCCTGGGGACACACTGCTGTCATCCCCCTCATGTGACATGGGGGGTGCTGTGCATTCCGTGGTAGCCTGTGTCCGTCTTGGGTGCAGATAGAGGGACTCTGGGCGCTTCCTCCCCGTGCCCAGAGTCCGAGGCAGAGGGGAGCAGGTGCGATGCTGTGGAGGCGGGAGGCCAGCAGCAGGAGGCTGGGGACCTGGAGGGTGGGCTGCCAGGAGGGAGGCTGAGGAAGGTGCAGGGGTGATCAGACGCAGCGCTGGGGGGCCCGAGGGTCTCAGGCAGGGGAATGGTAAGGCCAGGCTCCGGAAGGCCCCTCTGCCGCGTGGAGAACGCACCAGAACAGGGCAGTGGGGGCCAGGAAGCCTCCTGCCGGCGTGGAGGCCTCCAGGTCACATCCAAGGCTAGTGGGAGCACTGTCCCTGGGGCGAGGGGCATCTAGGGGGACCCCAGGTTCCATCATGCAGTGGGAACAAGAGGAAGAATGGATGGGCTTTGAGGCAGGGGTCTCGGTTTGGGCCGTGCTGGTGTGAAGTGACCGAGGGTCATCCCATGCTGGACAGAAAGGCCAAGAGTACAGGCTGCAGGTCGCCAACGCCTACGACACGCCTCGAGATGTCATGTTTTCCCAGAACTTTCTCCCTTCAGGCCTTTCCTCCCTCCCAGGCTGCCCAGCACCATGCAGCCTGGTCCCATCTCAGAGATAACAGCCCATGGGTCGAGTACAGAGGGAAACACTGTGCACGTCTGGTACTGTCACCCAGGGCCTCCTGCACCCTGACTCTTGACAGCCTGGGCCAGTCCCTCTGAGCGGCAGACAGATGCAACAGCCCCTTGACTTTCCCACACCCTCACTGCCAGTGGGAGGCAAGGCCAGGAGCCGCCTAGTGAGCACCCATTTATAAGGCGCCCACTGTGGCAGGTGCTGCCTTCCTGGAGCCCTAGGGAATAGTGCCAGTCCCCTGCCCTGGGGTCTTGGGGTTCACCCTCCTCTGCTCTCTCGCCCCCCAGACTTCCCCACATCTTACCTTTCAGGCAGGACAGCTTGAGCCCCATGCCGGCACCCCTGCAGGCCTGCAGAGAGAGGAGAAGCTCAGGGGGGGCCAGGCGGCTTGGGTGACTTGTTATGTCTCAGCCACGTGTGGCCAGGTCCCCACCCGCCCCAATGGGTACAGAACAGGAAATGGTGGCCCGAGAAACCACTGGCTGCCGCAAGGTCACGGCACCTGCAGACTCCATCTGGCCTCAGAGGGGAGTGTGGCTGCCGGAAACTTTCAAGTGCTTCGAAGCTAAGCACACTGGAGGCCTTCGCAGCCGCCACTGCTGTGGGGAGGGCAAAGTTCAAGGTGAGGGGATGGCTCACGCTGTGGGACGAGAACCCACAGCCCTCCTGGAGAGTGGCCCCAGGGACCACGAGGACCCTCAGAGGAGGTCAAAGCCCAGCACGTTGGTGCCTCTTCCCTCTGCCACTGCCAACTGTCCCCATTAGGGTCCCCAACAATGCTCCTGCAACACGACGAGGCCTAGTGCACTGAGTAAACAGGAAGTACAGTGACAGGGCAGCTGACAGCGTTAGAAGCCAGCGGGCCCCTGTGTTCAATCCCAGGAGGTGTGGTCACTGGCCCCATTTTGCAGATGTGGACATCAAGGCTCAGAGAGGTGACATCACCTACCCAAGGTCACACAGCTCACCAGAAGTAGAGCTGGGATTCGGACCTGGGACTGTGGACCCCCAGGCCAGAACCCCCCGCACAGGGGTTGTTTCCACGCTGGCAAGTCTCAGTGTCCTTTAAGAGGCTGGCAGGGAAGACTGAGCTCATCCCTTGAATCTCCAAGAACTGGAGGGCCACCTGTGAGCCAGGCCCAGGCCAGGTGTACAGGGACGGGTGGAGGGGCAGCCATGAGGACAAGCCTCTCTGACCTCAGACTCAGGCACATGACAGTCGTGTGGTGGCTGTGCCCCACTTGGCTCCTTGGCTTGCAGGGAGGCTGCGTTTCCCGCCGGCTGCCTCCACTGGTGACTGAGCATGGCACGGACCTAAGGCAGGCCCGTGGCCAGCAGATGCAGCATGTCCCAGACTGACAACTCAGGCTGAGTGCTCCCCAAGGTGGTGCCAAACCCTCTTTGGATGGTACAGCCCACCCATCATGGTCCGGGACCAGCAGCACCACTGGCACCCTGGGCAGCAATGCTGCTTCTCAGGCCTACCTGGGCCTAGGAATCAGAACTTGCATTTTAACGAGACCCCAGGGGTCGCTGCGCACCTAAGGTCTGAGAGGCCCAGAACTGCAGAACCAGAACCCTGCAGGGCAGGGGCAGGGCCAAGGCAGCTGGGGGTCTGGGGGACACGCCAGCCTGAGCGAGGGTGAGGCCCCAGGACGTCAAAGGGCTTCCATCTCCACCATGTTGGGTTTGCAGGATGGGCAGCAGGTGCCACTGGAAACAGCCACTAGGACTGGGGACTGAGGGCAGGCTGGGTGTGAGGTGGGTGTTCAGGGTACAGATAGAGTGGGGGGAGGGAGAGAGAGGGGCTCTGTATTTAACAGCCCCCCCCCCCCATGGCTGACTCACTGAGCTCCGGCCCCTGCTGCACTTGGAATCTCCTGGGGGCTTTAGTTTCTCTTTTAATCGTGGCATGTGCACGTCTATAACAAAATGTTTACTGTTTCAACCACTTTTACCAGTCAATTCAGTACATTCACTGCGTTCACCAGGGTATGCAGCTGCCACCACCGTCCACTGCCAAGTTTTCCCTTAGTACTTAAAAAGTGCTGCTGTCCGGGCCCCACCCCCGGTGGCTGAGGTATTTGGTCCGGGCGTGGCTTGGGCACCAGCATTTTACGTGCAGGACGACACCCAGGGACGTGTTCTCCCTCAAGGGCAGGTGGGCCTCACTGGCAGCAGAGCAGGGGCTTGTGGGGGGTCCCAGTTCTGCCGTCCCGGCACTAAGCAGGCATTCAAACCTCACGTGTGTCCCCAGTCTGTGCATCCTCATTACAAGCCCACGCCCATTTCACAGATGGGGAAAGTGAGCCAGTGAGGTTATTTACCAGTTAATAACTCAGCCTCCAAAACACAACGCATTCCCCCAAAGAACTATCCTGAACTCACAGGTTCTGCCCCCAAACGCTGTCTTGTAGTTTTAAAATTGCTCATCTCAAAACATGCTGGACCAAAAAAAAAAAAAAAAAAAATTCCTGATAAGCAGCATCAGTGCCTCGCATGCCAGGTAACACAGGCGGCAAGTGGAGGAGCCGACACGCAAACCCAGCACGTCGATGCCAGGGTCCACGGTTCCCACCCGCAGTCAGACCTGGACTCCCTGGCATTTTCCTGGAATCCCTGAGGCAACGGTGGGAAATGCGCTTCCCTCTGCTCCGCAGAAGAATGGTTCTTAATATGCTGGGCCAGGCAGCACTGTGGACCACGGGTCATCCTGAATAGACAGGTTTTGCCTCCAAAGCCGCCAGCAACTTTACAAACGCCCAAATACTTGTCTCAAAACACTCCGGGCCAGAAAAGAAAAGCAAAAGCTGCCTTAACCACAGCTCTGGGCCTATTTTTAGCTCCCCCTGCGACGACTGGGTTGGAACCAAGAGCGGCCCTGGATTCAGGTGACCGAGGGGGACAAGAAGCTGTACCAGGGTCAGGCAAACATAGCACCAAAGGGTCAGGGCTGTGTTCCACAGATGGACTTTGGGTTTCTGAAATTCCCAGATGGAGAGCTTCCCCAGCTGGTACCAGGACACCTACTGTCTGTCATTCTCATCACGGTGACGCTACCTCCCCACAGGCTCCAGGGCAGGCTTGAGAGTGGCATAGGGAAAGGACACTCGGTGACCTCAGACACCTCCTACCCAGGCGCAGTGACCTCATCTGTCAAACAGTGTCCACCACCAGCCAGACAGGCCCTGGGACCTGAAGCATAGCAGCTGTCATCATCATTATGGCTTAAATGGTAGCTCAAAAAAGATGCATCCAAGTCCTACCCCCTGGACTGGTGAAGGGGCCTTATGGGGAGGGAGGACCTGGAAGATGTTATCAGTGACCAGGAGGCCATCATTATCATCCTCACCCAGGCTGAGTCTTCACAAAGAGAGAAGAGAAGTACAATAGTCAGGCCAGGCCTCGGCCTCCAGACAAAGATCCCCAGGTCCCCAGAAGCCTGGAGAGACAGAGGTCACAGGGTTGGACTCTTCCTGAACCTTTGGAGAGGATGCAGCCCTGCCTCCCACCCTGAATGGGCCCTGCAAGAACCATGAAGATAAATTCCTGCCACTGAAAGCCACCAGGTTGTGGCATTTTGTTTCCCAGGCCCAGGACACCAACACCAACATCATCATCATCTCAGTAACAATGTTCATAATGAGATGGCGTTACTATGGAGACCACTCGGGGCGCACCCCAGGTAGCCCCCAGTCCACAGTCCAGGTGCCCTACAGGGAGGAGAGCTTCCAGAGATGGAATGACGTGGAGGAGGGACAGCAGTCACCCACTCCCTCCTAATGGGGGCCCCAGGCTGGAGCAGGAAGATGCTTTCAAGGGGGAGCGCCTTGGATGGGCTCAGGAGTGAAAGCTGGCTTCCACATCCTCTGAACGGAAAGCCTATCATACTCCCAACTGTGGGCCACCATCATGACAACAGCCAGTAGCTATGAGCCGAAAGCTGTCACTATGCCAAGTCCTGGGTGAGTGCATCACTAAACGCTTTCACAGAGCCTAAGGATACCCTTCCAGTGGTTGCCCGAGGGTGGCTGCCAGAGGGTCCCCACCCTTGCCCTGACTAGTAAGCTGCAGCTTATCAGTGCTACATCATGCCTCAAACTACACTGCTGTACACGTCCCAGCTCTCCTCCGTAGGCCTGGCCTGCTCCAAACACAAAATGAGGATTTAATGGGCAGGGGCACCCTTAGCTTGGCTGGAGGCTGTGGGGCCCCTGACAACTGCTGGTTTAGGCATGAGCATTTCTTCACAGCTCTGTGGACAGGTGAAGCCTCCCTTGCATATTTCATCGGGCTCTGTTTACTTCCTTCCAAATACCAGGCTGTTAATTACTTGCACAGCACCTTGAAGGGGGATGGGGCAGGCAGGACAATCTCAGGCTCCTTCTTGGACGACAGGGCCCATCACATGCTGGCGTGCTCCTGCAGCGTCCCGCCCCATTCTGGGCAGTGAGGGAGATGGGCACCCTGTCTCACACACCAACCACATCAAGGTCTCTAAAACCATGAGCACCCTCAGGAAAGGACAAGGTGGCCCAGTGGGCTGCTGCTGCTGTTACAGTAGCCTGGAAGGGAGAAGCCATCAACTCCCAGCCCGCAGCAGGGACCGGGGCCAGCTCAGACCCCACAGCTTCCCAAACGGAAAGAAAGGATAACGCAGTTCTTAGAGGTGAATGGAATATGATTCAGCCACGGACAGAAACGAAGCCGACGCAAGCCAGCACACACACGAACCTTGAAACACACGTTGAGGAAGTCCGTCAATCATGAAGGGGCAGGCGACCGTGTGAAGCAGCTACAATAGGAAATGTTTAGAGACCAAAGGTGACTAGTGGTGACCAGGGCCGAGAGAGAAGGAAGAGGGAGTCACTGTGAGGAACAGTGAGTGTCCACTTACGGTGATGGGAAATTTGGCAACAACTATGGGTGGTGGCCGCACAACACACAAAGCCTGGATTGGCAATGGGTGCGCGATGTATGTATTTTACAACATAAACTAAAAAATAAATAAAACTCTTAGCACAAAGAGAGAAGCACTCTGGACTTAGCATGGCCCACTGCAGACACGAAAGCTGCAGCTAAGGTGCTCTGGTGGCGCAGTGGTTAAAGCACCAGCTAACCAAAAGGTCAATGGTTTGAACCCAGCCGCTCTTATCAAGAAACATGAGACAGTCTGCTTCCATCAAGCTCAACAGCCTTACAAACAGTCTTAAGAGGCAGCTCCACTCTGGCCTCTCGGGCACTAAGTCAGAACCACCTTGAAGGCAGCGGGTTGGGTTTGGTTGGGGACACAGACCTTGCTTTTCCATTTCTGGCTCCGATGTCTGATGAA